AATCAAATTGCCTGTTAGAAAATAAGATGGTATCTACATCAATCTGGAGACGTGTCAGATTACTGTAGTTTGTTCAGTCAAACATTTTATGGCTTACTAGTTAGCTACCTTACCATGACCGATATAACATCGCATGTACATCATAAATTTCCAGTTTCTCTCTTGCTGTACATCGCAACCAAAAATACTTGTCAAATAAACCAAATCATTACTGTAAACAGCTCCATGGATGCTCCTATCTCCGACACTTCACACACAAAAAATAGCTCTTGCACGCTTTGCGTGCCTATGTTTTAAAATAGTGATCCATTTTCAAAAGTGCGACCCATTTTTCCAAGGGTGACCCAATTTTCCAAGTGTGACCCATCTTTCCTCGTGTGAAACTGTTATTATATGTGACCCGTTTTTTAAGTAAGACCTTTTTTCCAAGTGTGACTCATTTTTCTAAGTGCGACTCATTTTTTCTAAGTTTGACTCGTTTTTCGAAGAGTGACCTTTTTTCCAAGCGTGATCCATTTTTGCAAGTGACCCTTTTTTGCAAGTGTGACCACTTTATTTAAAATAATGACCCATTTTTCCGAATGTGACCCATTTTTACAAGTGACCCTCTTTTCCAACTGTGTCCTATTTTCCCAAGGGTGATCCTTTTTTCAAGTGTTACCTATTTTCCCAAGTGTGACCATTTTTTTCCAAGTTTGACCCATTTTTCCTATCGCCGTTTAAAGGCGCATGTAATCAAGAGTCGTGTGTAATTTCATTCGGAGTAGTGAGGTTGACAGTCTTCACATAAGAAATTTAGTATATGATCAATAGATTTTTTGTCTGTACTCTTTTTTTACGGCAAAAATTAGCCGTGCCCATTTGTTTTTACATGAGAAGTATTTAGCAGACAATGCACATTGAAAAGAACCTCTTACTTCTTCCGTACCTCATCCTTCCCCTAGCCCTAATCCCCACTACAAATAAGATTCGCCTAACAATTCGCTCGGCTAAAAGGTCATCTTACTGTAGAGTTTCATTTAAGTGAACAGTGAAAACACTTTTGTGCAACAACATTTTATTTGCAAGAGAGATAAAAAAGGACAAAGCCTTGTGTCTGTACACAAATTTCTATATACAAGAGGCACACAAATCATAGTTATTTGAAACTAAAGAAATTATGGACGAACAGTTTCTTTTTTTCAGTGTATATGATCTAATACTAAAAATATACTCGGGCCTCCGTCGGTGTAACGAGCACCGCTCACGCCAAGCTTACCTCGTTTTGGTCATAAATAGGATATCGATTTTGGCCTTTTTGGTGATAAATAGGATATGGTTTTTGCACTCTAGTCTTGAATTGGGTATGTTTCTTAGAAGAAACTACTTTTTCATCGTTATCGATAAGACCATCGACAGAACCCATTCACAATGCCTTTAACATCCTTCTGAACTAGGTACCTAATTATAAGGCAGGTCTGAAACAAGGAATTGATTAAAGGGTCAGGTCATAAATAGGATAGGGAAAATAACAGATTTTGGTCATAAACAGGGTAAGGGGTTTGGGAAGCGGGCCACACACCCCTACCCAATTTTTTAGGGAGTAACACCATGCAAGTCAATACACGGGTAAAATTTAGGTTGAAATCATTCAACTGTCTTCCATCAATAGCTCATCAAACATGAAGGGCTACGTGCTTTTGAACTGCCAAAATCTCGTGACTTTGTACAGGCCAATTGGCAGACCATCTAGATCACAGCTGTTCTCGACTTCCCATCACTGCGCATTCCCTGGCTCTCACTGACCAAGAAACAGGAAACGCGGGCTCAATCAATCCTCAGCCAGTCCGTTGGTCCAGTTTTCATTAAATGGCACCTTGTAATAAATTTGAATCACACCTAGGCTTCTAAGAAGTCCGATGGGTTTTTTCGTATCAGCCAATATGTAATTTGTGTTGATCGAATTAACATAAATTAATATTTTTCCGACAAGGAGCAGAGATCTTGGTGCAAGTGAGCCAAGCGAAGGATTTTGGTTAGCGCCCATGCCCCAACTTTGAGTGTCTTTCGGTTGTGTAGTGAAGGCAAAACATATCGTTTTTCCACATTTGAACGATTTGATTACGTGCGACTGCTGCTTTAAACTTTTGGTGGAAGTCGTGATTCTGTAGCCTCGTCTGGTTCCAGGTCTCCCAAGAGAGTGTCGGATATTTTCCCTCTCAAACGACCCGTATGCTGCAAGAATTGGGAAAAAAAACGAAATTTTAAACCTACCAAGGTCGCCTCAAAGTATGTGCTTGAAGTGTAAATATGGTAAATCTTTTCATAAATAACAAAATGAAAGTTTTTTTCGCTGGTACGCAAGCCAATATACATATCTTTCCTTCCAGTCAGGCTTTGGATAGAAAAGATGTTTTTAAATAAACTAGTCTGATCAGAGAAGAATTCACAAGGGAAAACTACTTACCGTTTTTGGACGTTGGATTTTGGGAGGCGGTGAATACGAACCACTCACTGAAATATTCAAAAGAGCAGAAATCTGAGGTTATAGATTAAATCCGTGACGATATTTGTTCAATGCACACTACCAACAGTAATTTAATTCTCCCTAGTCCACTCTAGATTAATAACTAACATTTAGTCTAGTTCTGGTCCTGTGGAGAGACGAGCATTTACCCGACATATCTCAGGCTGCTCCAACATTTCACCGGTACCTTTTGTACACAAAGATGGAGATGGAGGCACTGAAAATACGGTGTCTTGTCCATAAACAAAACACATTGCCTCTGGCGAGACTCAGAATAGTATATCTTGCTCCGGAGTCTAGCCACTAACTCTCGGACCTTGTTCGTCACCAAGTTTCCGTGACGAAAATGCTCCCGTTGGGTCAAGCGACTAACACATGAAATCAAGCACGATTGTGCTACTATAATCTGTAATGTAATATTTAATATTTATTTTGTGCTAATATAATATTTAATGACGATAAATTATCAATTTGAACAGCAACAATGGCAGACTTTGCGTTATTCAGAAATGAGCGATTTTTCGTTTGCGTGAAAGTGAAAGTTCATTCTAAAGTCGAGACAAATCTCTGACTTACCAGGGTCTGGTGTGGTAGCTTGTCTTTGCGGAAATACAACAGGGGGTGGCCAAAAACCGCCCCCACCTCCAATCGGTTGAACCACATTGACAGGCTTAGCTAGACGGGCTGCCCCGGATGGAACGAACAATGGCGACGCGGCATACGTGTCCGGTACAGTCCTGTACGAGGACAGGGGACGCTTGTCTGTCCGAGATGGAGATCTGGAACCTAAGAGAAATGGATGCCAAGCTCAAAATGTAAATTCTCCTTTCAGATTGATACGTTTCTCCTTATATTTGTTTTGAGAATCTGGTGGTAAATCAAGACTGTACACGTACATAGCTGACGATTGTGGTTATTCTTACCACCTGTCCGCAAAACAATTAATATCCTAATCAAAAAGAAATTATAAAAGTTGAAGACGAAGATTCTGAACATTGCAGTCCTCCTTAAATTAGTAAACTATATCCTCTTGTGTTATGTTGCGGAAACCTACCTGCACCAGAACCTGGTCTCGACAAACCGCTGGTCAGATGCTGCTCGTATTCATAAATCTAAAGAAACGAAATTAAAGAACGAATCAAAACAAAGAATGAATACAAAGTCATGCCTTATACCAGTCAAAAGAAGAAACAATACACAACGTGGAGTGGATTGCTGAACGAGGAGAATTTCATAAAAAATGGAAAATTCTCTGTGTAACTGTGCTAGCACTAAGAAACTTCTCAAGACCAGTAGGAAGAATTTCACGTTAAGAAAAAGAGTTTTAAACCTGTCTTTGCAGATCCTCTACGCGTTCAAAAGCATCGAGTTTCAAGTGTCGTTCATGATCCAGTTGCAGCATCATTTGCTTCAGAGCCTAGAGAATCAAAAATCACAATTAGCTATAAAGGACTTTCCGTTGAATAACAGAAGTCTTGGTGCCACCTTTGATTTGCTCAAACTAATGAACATCAATAAAAGTAAAACACGTGAAAAATTGCCACTTGATGAAGCAACCACTCAAAGAGAGAAACAACGAGCCAATCATGACTTCCGAGTTCAGCAACTTTCTACTTCAAGTTGCGACAGTAGCCATCGATTACAAGTAACGTATGCGTACAATTTCTGAGCCTTGCTACAATGTATTGACACGGCAATTAGCTTTGCATTGGCGCAGGTATCATCGGGTATCTTACTTTGACCGGATGTCGGAAAAACCGTTGTAGAGGGAACAATCATTCACTCGTCAACAAGCTGGATGATAAATTCACTGTACCTTCTTAGACTGCTCTTGCGCGAAAAGGTTTCTTCGCTGATCTCTGTCCAGGTTCTCTGCATAAAGACAATAACTTCAATACAATAATCAATGAAACGCCGGCCACCCCCGCCGTCCCCGCCAACAATAGGGACCTTACGCATATACAAAGGCGACGGCCACGGCCACGGCGAGGACGACGCTTAGTGAAAAATGTGTTTCTGTTCTTCTTTGGAATTTCGCATTTATTTGGAACTATCCAGTGTGCCTGTCGGTTTTAAAACTTGCCTGCTGCCAAATAGAAATACGAAAAGTTAGCCGTTGTTGCAACAACAACGTGAAGTGACCAAATTCTGCGTTCTCCGTTCACGTTCTCCAGACAACGCAGAATTTGGTCATTTCACGTTGCTGTTTTGCAGTGGACGGCAAAGAAATGTACCAAGAATTATAACGCACGTGCACAGCCATTGTTTTTTTCATTAAACTTTTTGTTTGGTGACGTTCTCGCTGCCGTTGCCGTCGTATTTTGCGTAAGGTCCCTAATAACAACAACAACAACCACCACCACTGAACAACAACAACCGAACAACAACAGATCAGGGCTTTTCATATTTCGCTTACGGGTAAGAAGACGGAGTTGCAATTCTTTCTCCTCCAGATCAGCGATCTAAAACAAGAAAACAAAGTTATTAAACTCAAGTGCCAACTCCTCGTGAATGGTATAATACTTCATATCAAACACTGAGAGGTACCGAAACCTTACAAAAAGAGCAAAAAGTGAAGACAAAACAGTGACACAGTCAAATCCACTCACCAGTTTATCGATGTTTGTAGATTTCGCCAGCTCTAGTTGTCTCATGCTGTGAGCTTCCTGCATTTGAGCGTGCATCTTCTGTAGTTTGGCCTTTTGCTACAAACAAGAATGTAGCAGACTCAATGTATAGAACCGATGCGCTTCCCACAAAGTAACAAGTATTTTTCTTCTAATATATAATAACTCAACAACCCAACACACATACACATACCAGCAACATTGGTTGCGTTTTGGCATTGGAAGTGGTTTAAAAACCTGCTGCGCTCATTTGCCGAGAACTCTTCTATTTAATCATTTGTCGGCAACAGTTGCAAGAGTTATTGTAGGGGGGGAGGGGGGGGGGGAAATCATTTTATGGATGTCCTCATTACCAAAGATGCGAGCATTTGGAGCACCGCAGACCCGAAGGGTGATATATATTAATATGGCTCCAGAATTCCAAACGTTTTGTTCTGGAATCTGGACCCAAAGTTCAAATCTGAAAGTTTGAAAGACCTTGCTTGCGCAAACGTTTTCAGTGTAGTAGCATTCCTCATGAAAGGCACGAGCATGACTGACTCCGAGAGTGGTATCTTTTTTTTGCGCGAGCACAAAACTACTGTGATTCTTACCTCATATTGTAGTTTCTTGCGCAGTTTCTGGCACTCTCGCTCCACCTCGGAAAGGGCCTGGAAATGAACAAAAATGAATGTTTTCAATAAAACGGTATCACAGAAATGGTCGCGCTAGGTACTGCGTTGCGTCACCATACATTGGATTGAGACCATCTACAATATGATCGTGATACACAATGGACAGAAACCGTTACTCTGGAGCGATGTACTGGGTCACGACAGTAAACACAACGATTGCTCAAGCTAAGCACAATGTGTTAACTTACCTTTCTAAGGGCAGCTTGCTCCTGCTTAAAAAGAACTTCTTTTTCTTCTGCAATTTTCTTTACCTCCAAACACTCTCTTTTGGCTTTATCAGCCTCATCTCGCAAACCCTCCACCTTGAAAAATAATTTCAGCTCATATTTACACATGAGAATCACGATTATCACAAAGGAAACGAAAAATTCGAATAGCAAAGATCAGGTTTATTAAGTTCATTTAATCATGAATCTCTGTGAAAACTTGAAATAACTGTGGATGCCCTCCGGTGGATAACAGCAGTTTTCTTAGATGTAAGCCAAACAACCACTTACCGAATCGTGATACCGGATAAACAGACGGGTCCGCTTCCAGTTATTCATTGTCTTGATCTTGAGAAACTGGAAATATTTATGAAAAGAATGAAAAAGAAAACAATGAAGGTGATAGGAAACTTGATTAAGTACATAGATACCGTGTTTGAAAATATTAAAGAAACCATAACAAAAACAAAAACAAAACAACGTCAAATTGAAATAATTACGTTTGACTCAAAGGACAACCGTTACCCTGTAGAGACTTAATTACCTTGTTCTCTTCGAATTTCATAAAGAGCGTTGAAAGAAAAGAAACTGAAAGCATTTTTGAACCTGACCAAACTCACCAACTGTCCAAGATATTTGTTTTCCTCTTGAAATTTTCGGATCTGTTCAGACTTGGCCAAGACTTGTTTTGAGGCAGCTTCGCTCTCCTCTGTAAGCAGAAAAGAGGAAAACGAATTGATATAAAGAGGATGTTTAGCCATGAAATTATGATCAATTTAGCGTGGCTGCTTACGAACAGAAACCACCACAAACGTAGCACAGGCAATCATTTTATTTAACGCCGATAGCAACAAGTTTTAAAGGAATATATGTCTTAAAAAACCTTTCAGTGTTCCAGACTTCTCTCTGAGTTTTTTCATGTCCTCCACAGCTTTACGCCGCACGTCACTCAATCCCTCGTGTACGTCATCGTGTAAGAACAATCTTGGTGAAAAACACAAAATGAGAAATGTGAAGCCCCGGCCAAACGATCGCAACGTATCAACACAACATATCGCAACATTGTTGGCCCAGCATTTGCAAGCTTCGGCCAAACGATCGCAACATTTCAGCACAACATATCCCAACATTGTTGGCCCAGCATTTGCAAGCTCCGGCCAAATGATCGCAACATTTCAGCACACAAAATCGCAACATTGTTGGGCGCAACATGTTGCGCGCGTTTGGCCACCCTGTTGTGACATGTTGCGACATGTTGAGTATTGAAAATCGAACTAGTGCGAATGCCCGGGTGCAACATTGTTGCACGAACCTGGCCAAACGACCACAATCATGCAACATCCACAAATGTTGCATGAAAAATTTGACCAGTTTCAAATTTGAACCAACAACACCCAACATGTCGCAACACGTCGCAACAGGGAGGCCAAACGCACACATCATGTTGCGCCCAACAACGTTGTAATATGTTGCATTGAAACGTTGCGATCGTTTGGTAAAGCCCCGGCCAAAGGCCCGGGGGCGGGGGGGGAGGGGGCACTGCCATATATGGGCTATATAGGTATGTGCCGCTGTGAAGGGTATGGTTTTCAAGCAGTTTACTCTAGGATAGGG